ATGATACTTGCCTGTGTGCACACACTTGCCCCCAGGTAGATGATGCCACAGATTAGTTTTCTTGGTCCCCTTCACTTAGGGCCAAGCTACCATGGTTAGCTGTCTTCATTAGTGGTGGTGTAAGGGTGCACAGAGGTCTTACCATGGCACAGCACTATCCTCTTTTGCCTCACGGTAATTTTTTTGTGCATCCTTGCTCTAAGAGTCAGCTCCTAGCCCTGAAAAGCTTCCAGTTTAAACAGAGCAACCAGACAAAGGGTGGTATCTGATAAGCAGAGTGAATAATGTGAGAGAGCACAGATGTCACGTAAAGTCCATGTGTATTATTTTGTGCAACTCCTTTGGAATAGGTTACGCAAGGAGAGGATGAACCAGATGGGAAAATGAAGGAAGGGATTGGAGCAGACAGAAAAAGGCATGGTCCCTCCCTTGGAGAGCTCCCAGCTTGAGTAAAGCACCGAGGGTTAGGGAGGGATGCACTTCATGAAAGGCCTCAAAACTTTTTGGTGGACAGTTTCGGGTGAAGTTTCATGAATTGCAGAGAGCATGTCATTAGGCCAGGGGTAGGCAAAATATGGCCCGTGGGCTGGATCTGGCTCTCCAGGCAGTCTTCACCTGGCCTGTGGGTGCCCACCAATTGTACCTTGCACAGCCCGCACACCTTACTCTCACCCTTTGTGCAGGAGGGCCTGACCCAGCCAGCACACACAGCAGGGCTGCTGCTTCAGCTGTTGGGAGACCTGCTTGACTTCCCCAGCCTCCAGTGGCTCCTTCTCCTGCCCCTGCTGAAGCGTTTGCTCCAGGCAGCAGGCAGGAAAGCGGTGGTGGGGGTGGGGTGAAGGCTGGGGCTGGCGGGAGCCTGGAGCCCGCATTCCGGGGGGGTGGCAGGAGTGCAAAGCTTGGGTGGGGAGGATGTGGGGTGGGGGTGTGGGGACTCCCTCCCACAATCCTCCTCCCCCCCATGGCACAGCCTGTGTTGTCAGCAGCAGCAGACAGCGGGCGCTTGGGGTATTTGTGGCTTGTGCAGGGGACATCGCCTAGCAGTGGACAGCTCCAGCCAGTTCCGGGAGTTGCACATGGCAGCAAGGAGTGGAGTCAGGCCAGCCCACCACTATTGCGTGAGGCTCCCTGTAGGGCATGTGCAGCTTCTGGCACTTGCGCGCCACTGGGGGAAATCCTTTGTGATGGAGCCAGCTGCCTTCCCTGCTGCCATGTGCAGTTTGAGCCTCCACTGGAAGTAGCAGGTAGCCTTGTCCCATTCTTCCTGACAGAGTCCTAGCAGCTGCATGTGGCAGCAGAGAGTGGGGAAGGCAGCTGGCTCCATCACACAGGGCTTCTCCCAGTGGCATGCAAGTGCTGGGAGCTGCATGGATGCTGCGGGGAGCCCTGCATGATAGAGGCAGACTGGCCTGGCTTTGCTCCTTGCCACCACGTGCAGGTCCCAGAACTGGCTGGAGCCATGCACCGCCAGGTGGCAGTGCTTGCGGTGGCCATGAGCACTCCGAGGGGCTGCTGCTGCTGCCACCGGCAGCAGGGACTGTGTGCCAGTGGGGGGGGTCCCCATTCCTCCTGCCCCCACAACCCTCCACATATACATGCCCCCAAACATACCCTACACCCCCCTAACCACATCCCACACACTCCCTCAGTATACGAGAGCAAGGCTTCTTATTTTTGCGCTGTTATGCAGTCCTCTCTATATATACTATGCAAGCACATATCATGGTAAAAATGTGTTTTTAAATTAAAATAAAAATATGTTACAGTAGATGTTTGACTTTTAATATATGACTTTATTTTCCTGGTTCCAAGATGACCCTCCCCACTCTGCCCCCCACCAAGGAGTATATCTAGGGGCAAGGGGAGGGACTTCCGGTGGCAGAAGTTAGAGGTTAGGGATAGGACTTTTGGTCCCAAGATGGTGACTGGGGGGGTGGGCTACCCTTGCGGCCCTTGACAGTCCACCAAAACTCATTAAGTTGCTCTCCACCTGAAATAATTGCCCATGCCTGCATTAGGCTCTTGGACCCCTCTGGCAGAGTTGTAGGGCTTTGGCAAGAGTTGCATCAATCTTTCAAATGGTAGGGTGTTTGGAAGCAGTTCAGGGACTTTGCAAGTGGAGGGCCTAAAACATGAGCAAGCGGGGCTGTTTGTAGCTTTCCAAGGACCTCCTCCAGTCGCTTGGAAGGAGGCACTGAAGATTTCTTTACTGTTTCTTTTTTCCTTTCCCTAGAGGAAATGCACAACTTGCCTTGATCTCCTCCCCACCCCATCTTCTCAGAAAATGAAATGCATTCTGTGAAATGCCTTCCCTCCCCAGTGCTCCTTTTAAGTAGATTTCAGTGAGCCCTGCTTTGGTGTCGTAATTAGATCTTTCGTTATAGGTGGAAACGGGGCCGTTTCGAAGGCTTCCTTCCCGAGTTGCTTTCTGTGCTGAGTGGTGGTTCAGCCCCCGATCTGGTATTCTAGGGATTTGATGGTTTTATTTGAACAGAATTTGAATTTTCCCCCCTGCTGTTTTCTCCTTATCTCTTGTCTTCCAAGAAAACTAAATTTCTTCTGTTTGAAAAATGCAGTGTTTTTCAGAGAGGGACTTTGATTCACTGCCTTGTTGTGGAGTTTTTCAGTGTTGTCTGCAGGTTGCTGCAAATATACGTTTGGCTTAGTAATTAATCGGTGTATAAATAATACATAGTGTGTTATCAGAAAACTGCACAGCAGGGCTGTGGAGGCAGCATGTTTGGCCCCTGTGGGGAGGGGGTTGCCGTATGCTGCATGGCAGTAACCCCCAAGGCCAATTAAGGTGCATCTTTGATGAGCTTCCAAGTGTTCTGTGGCCAGATAAATGGTTGTTACCATGCAGGGAAGGGACAAAGCAAAAAAAAAAAAATAAATAAATGAAGGAGACCTTCAGCATTTAGGCAGCTGCAGCCAGTGCCTGATTCCAGATCCCTGCAACCGTCATTTGCACAGAACTGAGAGTGCAGTGGTGTTTAATGGTCAGCACAGCAAATTAGCAGTCAGGGCTCCTGGGCACTGTTCATAATTCTGCTGGTGACACGCTGTGATCTTGGACAGATGACTGGCCAGTGCAAGGTCTGTCCTGGACCTGGGCTTGGCTGTATAGAAATACGAGCCCTATCATTGCTAAAGTGTTTAGATCTTCAGAAGAAAGATGCTCTCAGAAGCCTTGTTTACTGGCACAACTTTCCCTGTGTTTTTTTGCTGCCATCTACCTCAGCCCTTCTTGTACAGGCCTTATGGCTGGTGTGCAGCTCATCTTGTGTGGCTAAGGCCCCTGACACACGTTATACTTAAGACTTGATTAACCAGTTAATCGCATCCTGAGTTGTTATCCAATTGCTCGTTAATAGAAATCCATGATGTGATTAAAGCTAGGAATAAACCACTAAGTTATTCCACAAAAAACACGTAATAACTTTTGTGCTGGTTCTTATTGTGCTGTTAATAGAATGTGTGTCCAGGCTGGGACTCCCACCCTCAGGGTGCATCCCTGTGGCTTGGAGTCCCGTCAGCTGATGGAGCTTACAGCCTCAGGAGTTTGCTACTTAACACTGCAGGGAGAGTCTGGATCGTAATCCTAGGTTCCCCCTGCACTGGCAGTAAGGTGTGATGGTGGATCCCACAATCGCACCTCTGGCCATGCACATGTGGAATGGCAGGAAGCTTGATTGGGCGGATCATATGTAAGAGCCCATCTCACCTTTACTTGCATGTCTGTCAGGGGCCTAAGGTTAGTATCTCCTACTGTAGGTGGGGGAATCTGACCTAGGATTTGAAAGCTATGTAGACGGGGCTAGATGCAAAAGCACTTAAAATGGAAGTACCACGACATGTCCAAGGAAGGCTGAGGCATAATTCTGGGCTGAGAAAAGTGCTTCAGCTGTGTGAGGTTTTGGACACTGTGGGTGTGTCTACACAAGACACTACTGCACATGTACTTAGGGCTTGTATAATCAAGTATGAAATAAATGTGCAGTAATGCTGGCAAACACTTCTTAAGTGATGCAACTGTGCAGTAGCCTAATATTACTGCGCAGTAGTGTATTAATACTGTTGATGCTGTGACACGCTACTGCACAGTATTATTCAGCTACTGCACGGTTGGAGTCTTGTGTAGATGCACCCTGTGTGAATGAACTGGATGAAGTTTGGTGCTTAGCGTCTTGAAAAGCTAGTGTTAGTTTCTTCAATAAATGTTTTAAACTGGCTGTTAGGTAGGCTTGTAATTCCAAGGGCAAGCAATACACGGAGGGATGGCGGGGGAGGGAGATTGGAAAACCTGCTTCAAGCACCAAAATTAATATAAAACTAACAAACAAGTGAGCAAACATGCAAACATTGTAGCCAGTTGCCACACAAGGGCCTTTGGATCTTGACATGGCCTCCAGAGCCTTGCTGTGTGTATTACTCTGGAGCTGGGTGAGGGCAGCAGGAGGAAGGGAGCCTGGAACAAAGCAGGTTTTGCAGTGGAAGCTCAGAAGCTCCCTATTACAATGTGAATGTGAGTTGATCTGAAGGTGACATTGTATGATGGATCTTGCAACAAAATGTTGAAATTTCCAGACCCAAAGGCTGATGTAGGGAGCTCTAATGTACTCACTGGTTCTTCCAAACATATTTTTTTTTTTCTTGAAGATGAATCTTGAAAAGATGCAAGCTATTTTGAGTACATTGTTTCCTTTTTTCTTTTTAAAGAGATCTGTTTGAGAAACTACCAAGTTTATATATAACTTGGTGGTTTTTCAAAATTGTGAGAGACAGACAGACAGAGACTTAATTTTAATGAATAAAGAATAGCTCGGGACAGTGCAAACAAGCTGTAGACCTGAGTGAGCACTTAGAACCTTAGTTCTTGTTTCCATTGGTCGTCGGATATCTCTGTTGTCTTACTCTTATCACCTGCTGTAAATTGCAAATCGAAAGCATCTGAAAATGAAGTGGCATGGTAATATGTATCACCACACTGTGTCCTGCAGGTCCTGGAACAAGATGTGGTTCTGCAGTCTATTGATCGAGCCATTGAGGCTATACACAATGCAGCTATGAAGAATGGGGGCAAGTACAACTTGGAGCAGAGGGATGTCCTCCAGTAAGTATAGCAGATAGCTGGGGCAGATGGGGGAAGCAGTGGGCTGTGTTGGTCTGGAAGAGGTGGGGGACATGACTTTAGCAGTACAGGCACAACATGAGTTTGGTTGCTCCTGTATAGGCTGTGGTTAAGAAGGGGTTGCTGGGCTGTTGGCTGGCAGCTGCCAGTTAGGGCCCCAGCATTGCAAAGAAAGCTCTGGGATGCTGAGGGCTATCCCTCCATTCCTCAGGGAATGGAGCCAGGTGAGCAGTTGAGCCCCCAGCCTCCTCCTACATCCCCTTCTCCCAGTCACCAGCCATAAGCCCCCATTGCCCGTTGCAGAACAGCCCCAACTCCCTGGACAGCTGTTTGCCAATCTAAACTTACCTCAGTGAATTGGGGTGTTGCCTCATATCCAAGGTTCCTTGCTAGCTCCTTCTGCAGATGGGTGAAGAGGAGATGCTCTGTCCTTGTTGCTCAGGCCAGGTGAGAGCGCTTGCTTTTTGTCTATTCACATTTCCTATCTATCAAGTGCAGATCTGTGCCCTCCTCCCTGCCTGGACTCCCAGATCACTTGGCTTTTCTCATTAAAGCTGCACCTGGTTAGACAAATGAACCAGAAGGAATCCCTCTTGCCTGATGAGTGAAGTAGTGGAAGGATCTTTATGCTTCATTTGGGTGACATTTAGCTGTGCTTCTTCCCAGTTGAGGAGTCCTCATTTCCTGATTGTAGCTTGGTCTTTTTGCCCTGTGAGGCTGCAGTCCAGGCCCTGGCAATGAAACACTTAAGATGCATCTTAAAGGCCAGCTCATACAGTGTCATAACAGTGGTACAGAGCAGTTTCAAGACTGAATTTGTGCAATATATCTTCTATGGGGAAACTGCAGATAGTAGAATGTTTTTAAATCCCCTGCCCTAGAATAGAAGGGCACTGAATGGTAGTGGCCTCTGAATTTTACACACAACTCGGGGTTGGCTGCTCCTCTCATTGGGAAGGTTGAGTTGTGTGTAAGGCTCCAGATGCAGAAGAGACTAACTTCTTCATATTGGGGTGTATATACGTTGACAAGTATGCCTACAATTTGGGGTGGTTGTCTCTTGAGAGTGACCTCCTGGGAAACTTTTTCCATTAGAGCCCTATGGAACTGAATCCATCTCCACACCACTCACAAAAACCAAACAGATCTTTTATGCATGCAATTTTCTTATTGGGGAAGAAGATATGGGAGAATGAAGCACACCTGAGAAATGTCATCTATCTCACTTGTTGGTATCCAGAACTCGTTGCTTTTTTATGGCTTGGTTGGGTGGGGGAGAGGGACATGGAGCACTAAGTTTTTTCCCCTTTTACTGCTTCGCTGAGAATTTTCTGAGGTCTGCTACCTCTGAGAACTTCTCTCACCCTCTCCTCTGCTGTTTTTCACTATGCTGTGCCTGGTTCCCTGTGTTTGGAGACCTAGGAAAGAATATCTTGCATTTGAAAGCTTGTCTAATTGTCGCAACACTGCATAGTTGGTCCAATAAAAGATATCACCCTAAGAAATCATTACCTCTATCAACTTAAACCATTTTGGGTAGTCAGCTGAATGCTGGAGATATGGAAGTCAAAGGAGAGGGCATCCTTGTAATGCACCATTGACAAATGCTTGTTGTGAGATGTGAGTTTTGTAGATTGAGGCACATCCACTTTGCCTCGCATCAAACAGTGATGGACACAGAGGCGCCAGTGTTCTGAAGCACATAACATGATGTTTAAACCTTAGTTCTTTGAAGTGCTCTCCTTTCTGTGAACTCTGCTTTTTGTGATGACCTTTTCTTCCCCTCTGAGGAAGCTCCATTGTAGCTACTGTCCAGTACCTAAATTTAGAGCACTGTAACCTAGAATAGTGACTTCCTGTCTCCCTCTGCATCCCTAATGTTGCTGTTCCTGTTCCATCTGCCAGGAAGTTGATCCACCATCGAAAGGAGACTGTATCCCGCAAAGGCCACTCGCCAGCCAGTCAGGGCATGACTATGACCCCATCCTCTAGTGATCACCATTTAGATATGGCACGGCAGCCCAATGGGGTGTGCCGGACAGGATATGAGCGACACCACAGCCTTCCTAACACCGAGCTCCAAGAGGATGAGGAAAGTCTTTACCAGGTAACATCAGCATTAGCATCTCCTATGTGCCTGCTTCCAGAATTCCTCCTGCTGGTGTGTGGCACAAGAAAACTGCCTCCATATTCAACTAAAACTGAAGAATGATTTTTCTGCTTCTTGCCTTGAACTGTGTGGATTCATTGTGTGCCGCTAAACAGCTGCCTTGTCTCGTCCCATGGTGGCTGATACAACCCCTATGTATCGTTTAAATCTGTGAAGCACTTTGGATTCCCAGAGGATATGAGATTTTATGTAAATGCACCAGCTCTGCTCTAGTTTGTGCTACTGTCTTTTTCTTGACACCTTTTTAAAGAGCTGCTGACTCCTCAGGGAATACTTTGAAAAATATCATATTTGGAGACAGTTCTGCTTATGTCAAACTTTTTTCCTCTGCTTTTGTTTCCTTCTTGTAAAATCTGCACAAAACTAGGATCACATTTCCCCAGAAATTCAACAGCTTCAGCTGCTTGTTCCTCTGCTGAAGCTGTAAAGTGTAAAGACGCTGTGTTTGTGTGTATGTCTCTAGTAATGATGAATCTGAGGGGAAACACAGGAAATATGACTTATAAGCAGAATTCTTTTTAAACAGAGCATGTTTCAAGGTTACTGTAGGGCATCAACAAATCTTCAGAGAGGAAGGCTAAAGTAGTCTTTATAGCCCTTGTTCAGGGTCTAACCAATTACATTGTAGGGGTGCTGCTGGGAGGTTGGAGATGAAGCCAAGATGCAAGTGCAGTGAATTTCCACTCCCACAGATGTGCTGGTAGCATAGTCATATTCAGGGTGATGGCTTGGAGTCAGAAAGTAAGGAGTTGCTCAACCTGCAGGGGGCTGGACCCAGCTGCAGGTAGTCAGCAGTTAAGAGTCTGGTTGGCTGGAAGGCTGGGAGCCAGCTGCAGCTGGTGACCAGTGAATGAAGATGGAGCTACAGGGAGAGTTAAGAGCTCCAGGAACAGAGGGCAAGGGAGAGAGGAGGCTGGCATGCTGAGGGAGTAGCACAGACCCCGTGTTGCCCCTTTCTAGGTCTGAAGAATGACCATGAGTTTTGGTTTTGTTACTTGCATACTTTCTTATTTTGTTGTGTGCTTTGTTTGCCGTGGGGACAAACTTGTTCCTTGTAAAATAACCTGACTAGGCACCTGAACTCAGAACTACTTGTTTCTGGAGGAGACAGCTAGCTGCATTAGAGCAAAATGAGATGGAGACAAAACCCTCTGCAATGTTCAATCCCCATCTTTCTTTGTAAGGCTGTGCTTACCTAGTTGCAGTGAAGATTTGGAGGAAACTGAAGTCCTTGATTTTAATAAGAAGGCCCAGCTCCGACCTACATTGGGTCTCTGAGCCCACTCCAAGTTGTTGCCTTTGTAAGACTGTGCTCGCCCCTTGACCAGACTAATTTGAGTGTCACTGCTGGATGGGGATGTTCCTGAAATGCTAAAGTGCAACAGAAGCACCCTGTGTCCCCTGCTAAAAGTAGAGGCTGCCCTATTTCATTCTTAAGGCAATCACTTTCTGAAGCAGCCTAAAAAAAGACCTATTACATTGAGAGGAGTAGATTCCTGAAGGGAGATGCCATTGACCACTTGGGTATGCTGCTTTGTCTTGCTGTTTGCCCTGGTAACCTTTGAGCTCTTTGGTGACTTGCACTCAGATTTTGCTTCCCTGCTTCTCAAGGGCTGAGCTGAACAAAATGCGTGGTGGGAGAAATCCAAGCTGGACACTTACGTAATTCGTCAGTTTAAAGTGGCATGAGGGGGAAGATTCAGAGCATTTATATAACCAACACTAACGAGGAGGCTTGGAGTCGCAAAAGCTATAAAACCTGCTGCATCTCTGCATGCTTGCTAGGCTGCCTACCTGGGGATAAGCTCATTGTGCTCTTGTTCTTAGAGGCTTTTCTGTAGACCATAGAGTCCATCCCAGCAACATCTGGATTAAACAGGAGCAGGAGAGCTGAGCAAGCCAATAACAGCAGTGCTGCTTTAGTTCTATGTGCGGGCACCAGCCTTATTTCTTCCTCCAGGCTGGCCACCAAGAGATCGAGCGGGATGGTTATGCTTTCTTTCTGCCCAAGACAGTCTTGGAGCAATACTGACTTGTTTTTGTTTTTTGAGCCTCTCCCCCTTCCAGGCCTCAGCTCAGCCCTGACACCAGTGCTGTGAAGAGGAAGGTGATTGAAACCTGTTCTTGGACCTGGTTGAAGGTTCCATCTTGTGCAAGTCTCGGGATAGCCCATGCCTTGCACATCTCCTTCTCACTCATTTCTGAAAATGACCCAGACTTTAGAGCCTCTTGCCTGTCTCATGCTATCTCCAATCAACTCTGGACTTCAGCGAGAGCTAGGGAAAGCAGTTGGCCTCTTGTGGGCTAAGACTGAGTGTAGGAAGTATCTGAAGGATGCTTGCCTGTAGTTTCTGGGGCATCCAAATCCCAAGACCTCTGGGCTTGAGCCTGTACGTAGGATGCCTGCCAGTGAATATGAGAGTATCTGAAGTCTCAGGGTGAGAAGCTGGGCTGGAGGATGCTCTCTGGTTGTAGTGCCATACATGGTGTTTAGAACTGATTGAGTTCTGCCTGCTCAATCAATCCGATTTGGCTGATTTGACCTGGAACACAAAATATATTAAAAAAAAATAAAAATCTCCGTCTAGCCCTTGTCTAAGACATTTGGATCTTTTTGGTTTGTTGCCCACAGTTTTGCTAAGTGAAATCCATCTGATTCTTGACAGTTTTGCTGAAGATTGTCAGTTTCAGAGAAACTCAGTGCTGTCCGCTCAAAACTCCTCATTCTTGAAAAGCAAAGCCTTTGATGTGGCCGAGGCAGGGGCTGCCTCCCAGGTACCTTTGCACCTCATCTGCTGCACACAGCTCTGCCAGGCAGGGGTGGGGAGCAGCGAAGGAGTGCTCTGCATGCTTGAGGACCTACTGCCATCACATTTGAAAGAGCTGCATCTTAACTGAGGAATCTGGATTTCTTTTGATGAAGCAGCTTGGATTCTGCTGAGATTGATGGTTTTATTGTAGCTTCACTTTCCAGGAGAGAGTTCTGGTTGCCCCTAGCAAGTAGGTGTCCATAGCTCTGTGTATGGGTTATGTTCTGTGGTACCTGGCACCACTTTACAGCCAGTACTTCTATAATAATTAGAACTAAATATGGGACAAATTTGAAAGGGTACATGGAGCCATGGAAATATTCAGGAATGAGCCCATTCCCTGTAGGTTACCAAATAGTGTGAGGTTGCTGTTATAAGCCAGTCAGAGCTGGCTGCTAAATCCTGCTGCTTGTCTAATCATGAGTTCACTGAGCCAAGTGGCTTTGTGTCCTGTAAAGTTAGCTCCCTCACATTCTGTGAAGATAGGGCTGACTTTTTTTGTTTGTTTTTTAGCACAGCTGCAGTTATCAAAGCCAGGGAGGGCCTTCTGCCAGCCCTTTACAGAGACCTCCTCTGTTTTGCTGTGACTCTCACAGCTGTGCAGTCTCTGTGGGCCAAAGAGTAATCATTCTTGAAGGGCAAGAAAGTACATTGCTGGATTCTGGCCAGTTCAGCGTTCAGATTCTATATAGCAATTTGACTATATGTCTGTGAGGGGATGGGAATAAGCAAAGAGACTGGGCATTAAGTGAACACAGATCTCAACTTGATTCCCCAGCCTAAGGTCTATATGTGGGATCAATTTCTTGCATTCATTTACCTGACCTGTCATAGAAGTAGAAAAGCTGGGTGGTGAAGAAAAATAAAGAGTACATCACAGTATTGCCTGGATGTCAATAAATCCAGTCTCTAAACCTCTGGAAAAAGCAGTTTGTACAGTTGAATATCTCGTGGGGACTTCTATCCCTCTTGCCGTGTAAAGAGCTCAGGTGCTTCCAGTTTAGTCTGAACTGCTGTGTCATTCTGAGATGAGACGGGATATGTCTGAAGTACCCAGAACCTTGTCCATAGTATACAGTCAGTATCTTGGCTGAACCTGCCAAGGAAACAGGACCTAGTGCACAGTGCAGTGCCCAGGTGTCAGGGAACAAAGGAAACACCTCTTGGTAGGCAACTTTGACCTCCCAACAGATGCAAACCCGGCAGAATGCATAGCAATGGCCAGCTCTGGAGAAACCAACTCTTTAAGAATATGGTCTACTAGACTTTCTGAAAAGACCGTCTCTGAAGCCTGTCTGCATTTGAAGGAAGCTGATAATGCTGCTGGGAACATGGTCCACGTATCCTGTTACCAATGGAGCATGGTAGAGCCAGGTGGGGTACTCCCTGTGGGTCTCGATCATACCATTTGGGACACCATTTAGGTTCTTAACATGTCTTGTTCAAGGCTGTAGGTACAACTAATGGTTCTGAAACAAGGAAGCGAATAAAAGGAACCTCATATTTAAAAAAAAAAACGTTATTTGTGAGTGTGGGGGATGCTGGCTCCAAACCAGATTGGGCCTTGTGGGTCCAAGCTGGATGGAGGTCAGTGGCAGCTTATATAAATCTTGGAGTTTTGGTGAAATCTGCTTCCTGGAGAAAACTACTGAACTTGGCTGAGTATATTCAGCATGAGCCGTGATTTCCCAGTGGCCCACTGCATTCGTCCAAATTGTAGGTGGCAAAGGCATATTTAAGCATGGAAAGGGTCCCTGCTTTCATGTACAGGTCAGAGCCTTGGAGTGTTGGCCGTTGGAGACCTTGCTGGTTTTTCCAGTATTTCCAGGGAAGCAGCTATGTTGGGGAAGGGCCGTCTGTAGGGAGTCTAGTGCTGCACTCTAGTTGAAGCTGCTTGATAGGGAAAAGCCTCGGGCTTGTAAATTTGCACAAGAATTCTTGCCTTAGCCTTTCTCCCTGCCCAAATAGAAATTGTTGTGAAAGTATGAACTGGGTGGGAATTTACATATCTTCAGTCGTTGGCTTTGTCTGTTTTCAAGGGTATTTGTAGCTAATGCGATGGATCTCTCCAGAAGAGTGTCTAAATATGTGCTGTTTGCTGCCTCTGTGGAGCTATTGAGAGCAGTGTAAAGTCATGGCGAACGTGTGGGATTGCATCTGGAATAAGAAAGGAGTAAATGCTTGACAGGTCTGCGAGACACAAATGTTGCACGCTGCTGAACATAGCAATTAAACAAGCGCCGCTTTTCCTGTCAGTGGGAGGGGGGTTTTGGAGTTTGGCTTTGTTCTTGCGGGAAGCTGCCTATTAATATCTGTCCTCCTGAGGGATCTTTATGGAATGATGAGACGTAAGGACAAATTTACACATGTGCGCAAAGAAAGGCTTTCTAACACCGAATGTCTTTATTGTCAGCCTCCTTTGATTGCTCTAAAACGTTCCCTTCTAGATCCCACCGCAGCCGCGCCGAGCTGCTCCCGTCACACCACCACCACCAGAAAAGCGCAAGAGCACACAGACAGCAGTGCCCATTAAAAGTAAGGAGACAGACACCCTCTTTTTGGATGTTGGGCAGGAGGGGAGGGAGAGCGTGTTGTCAGCAGCTGGGACAACGGGCTAAAGTTTACCTCCTGGTTCTTAAATATAACACCCGTGGGTTGGGGACCTCTGTTTTCTCCCTACCCTGTAATTCAATATTGGTCCAGCACCAGTGGATTCTTCTCCCCATCATCTCCAATGGAGTTGAACACTTCTCAGGAGTTCAGTGTTGGCTGGAGGCAGGGTTTGCAAAAGCAGCTTTTGCAACGTTCTGCTCCGCTTGCTTCCTTGAAAGATGCCTGCAGCCACAGTGGGTTGGGGTCCTTGTGTCCAGTAGTTTTGCACAAATACCACTGAGATTGTTTTGGCCAGGTAGAATGATAAGTTGGGGTGTGGAGAGGGATGTTGTTGCATTTGGATGTGATAAATCTGGTCAGTCGCCAGGGGGAGCTCTGTATTAATGCAGTGAGGAACTGGCTTGCATTCAGTTGGAGCTTTTTGCTGGCAGTCCATCCAGCTCTTTGTTCCTCAGGTTAGAGTTTGGCAAAGCCGGTCCCTTGTCTAGCCAAAAGGCAGAAGCATGCCACCTGCAGCCCCTTGCTGTAAATCAGCTGCGTACATCCTGCAGACAGACCGACCCCATTGTGGACATGAAAACTTGCAATCTTGTCCGCAGAAGTGCTAATGGGCTGACACAAATAAATATATAGTTGACGCTGTCTGAGGACCTATTTTTAGTTGGGGTGTGAATGAGGAAAGCCATTCTGTTGTGACACTAGTTGTGTGGTGGTGCATTGCCATGATGCTCTCTTGTCCTGCCACAATTGTTCTGTGACCAAAGCCAGCCCCACCCAACCTCAGTCATGTTCTCTTCAGTGATCACGTGAGATATAGGATGGAGCTGACTGATTCTGGGCAGGTAATTGAAACATGGGACAGGCACCCAACCTGCGCCATTCCACACTAAATCACAACAGTGCAACCTCTCACTGCTGTAGTTTTCACTGCCCCTTTCATTAGGTGACATCCAGTGGAAGCTGCAGCATGTGGACTGTTATCTTTAGAAAGAGGAGGAAAGTAGAAAATGGGGGAGTGCTTTTTAGGAGATTGTATAGTTCATGTAACCCTACTTGTCTTTGACCGGAGAGCAAATGGTGCTGAAGATCCCAGTATTCTGTGTTTCAAAAGGTGGGGGGAGGCCTGACGGGGGGCTTCTCAGCCAGTGATGTGCAACTAGTGATAGGACTTGGTTGTAGAATAAGATTATTGAAGCCTCTCACAGCACAAGCATAGAAAAGGCTTTTCAATGTCCTGGTGACATAAGAGGATCTCTCTCCCTTTGCCTGGGGATAATGCTCATTGCCTGAGGAGATTTTTATTTTCTGTGGATAAACAGGTGAGCCAGTAAAGAACAGCGAGCGGTAATGTGAATGCTGGTGCAGCATACAAAATTGGAATGAATTTGCCTTGGGAATCAAGGTCATCCTGAAGGGGGACTTTCATCCTCCCACAGATTGTGAATCCCTTAATTTGGGGTTCAGAGAGGGAGTGATTGGGCTCTGTCACTCTGCCTGAATGACTGTGTCTCCCTGCCGAGCTGTGAGAGGCTGATGTGGGATACATTTCTGCAGTTCTGTTTTTTTTAAGAAATTGCAAGGCAAAGCTGTGTGAATATTGTGGCTGGTGGGGGAATAAATGTCCTGACAAGGAGGCCAATTAGATTTTGAGCTGGTTTCCTTAGAGAAATGGCGTAAGCACTATGGCTGGAGTTAGCCATATCTAAAATGGACTGTGCACCCCAAAATAAACCATAGCAAGTGATCGTGTAGTGGTAGGGCAGCCAGCAATATGTCTTTGGGGTTTAGAAGTTAATCATATAGAATGCTTAGAGGGAGAAACCATAGGTGCCTGCCAGCCAAATGCTCTGGTGCTTCTTTCTTGCTTTTGACACTACACCAACCCCACGGTCTGTTCTGCAGGAGGGAAAGAAGATGCTTGCCACAGTTTTACAGAGTTTGGTATTCGGCCATGTCAAAAGTAAACATCATGCTCAGTATGTGGGGGGAGAAAGTTACTGTCTAAATTCAGGGGAAAAGATTCCTTTCTCCTTGAGCTATTTCACCCTGTGAAGCTGTGAGCTCTTTGAAGCAAATTCATCTCGGTGGAATAGGATTTTTCCCCTTTACTAAAGAGGTGATTGCATTGGAATGCTCAAGAGAGAGCTAATACAATTTTGTTTTGAGATAAGTGAGCCAGGAAAAGGAGTTAAACTGCTTTGGTAGCATGCACAATGAGCTTCTTAATGGACTGGGCTGTGGCAATTTGTTTCTTCCTTTTTCTTTGATGCTGTTGC